TTTTTTTTTTTTTGGCCTTCATACTTACCTTATAATTGAAAATGTATTCTTAGGTAAATTGTTACTATATCTAGAGAGAAGCTTCCCCTAGATCTTAAGAAAAAGTGTTTTGTTGTGATGATTGATTATGATTCCACAATCAAATGATCACAATTGTTCTTTCAACATGAAAATATCATCTATGACAAATGTCAACAAATGTTAAAAGGAGAATTATTGAAAGATATTTTTTTATATAATTTTACATATTATTTAATAATTAACTATTTTCATTTTACTCTGACTAATATTATATATATATCTATTTATTTAATGACATATAAAAATTATATAAAAAAATTATCTGCATATCATTGTTAATGAAATCTTTTTCATAATTTAATAGGATACATCAAATTTCCGACTATATACACATCAACAAAGAAAATCAGTGTAGATTTTTTTTCATAATCATTTGAATCCAAAATTATAAATATGAATCTATGCTGATTTAGCAAACATTAATTTCATTTATTTCAATAACTTAATTTGGGATCAAAACAATGAAATTCATTATCTCGACCTTCTCAAGCTGACGAAAAAAAAATCTTGACTTTTTTTATTAAACAAGTACAAATTTAGAAAAGTGAGATTTAAACCTAGCATTTAACTCTAGTACACCTTTTGTAAAAATTTATAATCAACTGACCTTCTAAGTCAAGTAAAAAATCTTGACCTTAACACCACAGTAACAAGCATAATTATATATAATTTTAAAAATAAATTAAGATTTTTAATGTTACATACTTAGTATAAGTTTCTTTAAAATTTTATTTTTGATCAAAATTAATAAAAAAGTCTTTTGGTGTTTCTATTTCGGTGACTAAATAGTATATTTTACATTGTTTATCTTGCTTAGCAAAAATGAAAAAAGAAAAAGTGAACAAGGTTTATCATTTTTCTTTTCTAACTTAGGGGGAAAAGTGAAAGCTTCATGTAGTATATACCTAGCTCTTGTATACAATTTTTTTTTTTTTTGGCCTTCATACTTACCTTATAATTGAAAATGTATTCTTAGGTAAATTGTTACTATATCTAGAGAGAAGCTTCCCCTAGATCT